GTTGGCCATAGTTTTGAAAGGAGTCCCAATATTTTAAGGCCACACTCGTGCATATCTATTTTATTTTGCTTTAGGTAGAACTGCAGTTGATAAGAGCAAAGTCACTTCAGATTCAATACCAGAGTATGTATTATTCTCTAAAAGGTTTGTTGATAATATGACTTAACATAGAATATACTGTCTACCTCTGCAGTACATGCAAAAAACTAGCTGAATACTCTAGGTAGTAATTTCTTTCCTTAAGCAGTGGCTACTATTTGTATCTTTTATTTAGCCAAGGGAAGAGATGGTGTTAAGTGGAAAATACAAGACCGGTGAACAAATACTTCGTCTAACAAATGAAAGATTTGCAGTTCCAGAAATACTCTTCCACCCTTCAGATATTGGTATTCAAGAGATGGGAATTCCTGAAGCCATTGTTTATTCTATTCAGAATTTACCTGAAGGTATAACCTAAAAGTATTTTGAAAAGCGTGTGTGGTATGTGGTGTTGTGTTGGTTTGGTTTTTGTGTTTTGTTTTGTTTTTTTGGTTTTTTTTTTGTTGTTTTGTTTTGTTTTGTCTTGGTTTTTTTAAGCATGCAAAGTGTCTTAAGAAGTCAATACTCTCAATATGCCTGTTACTAACTTGTGAACTGTTCTGTCTTCTTGTGTGTGTCATGTACTGAAGAACCGATCATCTACAAGCCTGTTAGGCAAAAGCAGTTTTGTAGTGATTCATCAATTGGTTTCTACTCTTGTTTCAGTTAACCACTGTAGACTTAATTCTTCTTAACATCCTTTTCTAATGTGACCTATCTGTCTTTGTCATCAATGATGGAAAATACTTGAAATTAGTTTTAGTTGTGTTTAAAAATACCTTTCTTCACTGGAAGTAGAGGAAAACAAACTGATGAGAAAAATTAAACTGACCAAACTTGGCAATTGAAGCGTCAAAGTATAAAACCTTTCTGACTGCTGTGTCTGTCAAAAGTAATACTAAAGCTTTCATTTTATAAATGATGTACCTGTAATAAATGTTATTACTACAGAGAAGACTTTCATAGGTTTTATGATACCATATAAGAATGGTGGCATTGAGGCTATTATTTTGTACTTTTAAAAAAATTGTATCATTTAAAAGGCCATTTGAAAGGGGAATTGTATTGGCAGACATAAAATTTAATAGACAATATAAGAAAATAGTAGTTACCAAAGCCATATTCTAAAAATCACGAGGAAGACGGGGTGATTGATCACTTTCTTGTATTTCTTAATGAAACTATTTAACCAATGTGATCATTAGATGATCATAAAATTCTTCTATGCATATTTCTTCTGTTCCAATTCATAACAAAATTGGGAAAAAAACCTTTAATCTTCAAATATATATTCAGTCTCTATTTACAGATTTACTTATTTTACAGAAATGCAGCCTCATTTCTTCAAGAACATAGTTCTGACTGGGGGAAACACCCTTTTTCCAGGCTTCAGAGATCGGGTTTATTCTGAAGTTCGATGTCTTACTCCAACTGATTATGATGTTTCTGTTGTTCTCCCTGAAAAGTAAGTTTTAAACTGTACAGAATAAACTTTGTTCTTCTAGAAGAACAAACTGCAAACTAGAATTCATTTTGCTGATTAAAAAGATAGATTGAATAAAGGGGTTAATTTAAATATTAAGTGAACCAAAGTCATACAAGAAGAATGTTTTAAATCAGTGTATTTTCAGACAGACGAATTAGAGACCACCTGCTTGCCCTGTACTTTGGCTAATAAAGTATATAAGTAAGTCTTCATAGGATCAGTCCATTGTAAACAGATAAATAAGACTCTATTGTCGTTAACTGGATACATAAATATGCAAGATTAGAATTTATTCTTTTACTTAGAAGAATTTTCAGCATCTGAACTGTCATATCATTATTAATGTAGCCACTTGAGGGATTTGGAAGGGGTAACATCCTTGCAGAGAGAGAGTATCCATTTGAGACAAAACAAGTGTATCTTGAAAGTACAAAAATTTCTTTTTGAGGTATAATTAAAGACTATTTTTAAATATTATTAAAGAATCATTATCTGTGCAAAGTAAATACAAAGGCATACCCACTTCCCACCCTCTTCAGACCTGCCTCCAAAGAGGTACTTGGTTTTTATAAAAATGAAAGTCGGTTAGCCCTGGTAAAATTGCATACTTTGCCTCATAACTTGTCTGGACCTGGGTGGTTTGATTTAGCAATCAAAAATGTATTTTTTTAAACAGGTATGGGTAAATAAAGGTCTTGGGAACCATCACTGCATATTTCTATTTTTAATGACCTTACAGATGAGTAACAGTAACTTTGTTCATTTTTTAGCCCTATTACTTATTCTTGGGAAGGTGGGAAGCTCATTTCTGAAAACGATGATTTTGAAGACATGGTAGTAACTAGAGAAGATTATGAAGAACATGGACACAATATCTGTGAAGAGAAATTTGATATATAGGTAGCACAGTTGGATGCATTGTTATTCCATTGTTTTACTGAGATTGGAACCCTTTGAACTACATGTCAGTTAGGATTGTGTTTTAGCTTTCCTGTGTTTAAGTGGGTTGAGAAAAAGTAATTTTCAAAGTTTAAAAATAAAGTTTCACAAGCCTAATACTATGAAATAGTATGTTCATTGTCATTTCATTACGTTCTCGTATTTTACTGATAGCTTCAATGTATACTTATTGCAGAAGACATCAGTGCATGAGGCAATGAAAGTGCGGGTGTGACACTAACATATAGTGAGAAGAAATCAGGATGTTATTGGTTTTATTTCAAAACAAATACTGTTTTAACTAGGGCATGCAATTGACTGGACATTAAACATATCTCAAAACGTCCTTAAAAGGAATGAGTTTTATTTGAACAATTCCTTTATAAAAAGGGGTTTGGGGCTAGGCTAGTAGGTTGTGGATTTTTCTGCTCGGTTTTCATTTTAAACAATGGCTGAACAAATGAGCTTCCTGCCACTCCCCTCCCCTTTCTGAAAAGGTGACATCAGAAGCTGTCTGAGGTGAGTGAAGGTAGCAGCTAATCCCACCTGTGTACAATCCCTGCGTTCTAGTTAAACCTAGATGCCCCTGCCTGTACCCCTGTTATTTCTGTTCACAGAGCAAAGGTGGCATCAGTCTGTGCAGCACTGGGAGCAGGAGGGGAAAGAGCAGCAGCAGGGGCTGAGCTGGATGGAAGCCGCGGAGGGCTGCGCTCCTGGGGGGTGCCCCAGCTGGCTGGCTCAGCTGCCAGGACAGGGCCGGGCACGGGCACGGGGCGGATAATGGGCACACAGGTGCTGACGCAGCTCATGGCCCCAGGGGAACTGCCTTTTTTCAGTCCGGCTGCTGATACTGCTGATACTCGGTGGTCTCAGATTGGGACAGGAGCATCCTGTCCTCAGCTGAAGTCTCATACTCCCTCTTTTGTCCACCCCTATGTAAAACCAGTAAGTACGCTTACCTCGCTTGGAACAAAGGGCAGGAACTGACTTGGGCAGTTGATGGCCCGGATCAAGCAGAGGCTTCACTGGAGTTCACACCAGCCCAGAGAGGGGCACTCTGAGGCACAACTAGATACTGTTGCTTTCTGAAAAAAATGTTCTTTGTGACAATATGTGGCCCAAGGGTAATTGTAGCTGAATGGTTAGAGCTGTGAATGGGGGAAACAAAGGGGTGTGTGTACTACCTGGGCTCACTGATAATATTGAGATATCCTCGTCTCTGGCTTCCACTTCTTTTCTACTTCAGATAAGCACATGGAGTTAGAGCCACCTCGTTCTGATCATTCCAGATTCTTGTGAGCTGCTCTTGTTCCTACTCAGGCAACAGGAGGTGTATATATATATCCTATATATGTGTATATATATATGGGCAATATAGAAGAGAAGACAACACTCCAGAGAATGGGAGAACTTGATGATGAGCTGCCCCAATTAAATAGTTTCCAGAGATAATCTTTCTTCTTGAATATGATCTTTTGATTTTGGATTGCCAGCTCATGGTGGCTTTCCTCGTCTAACCTGCTGCAAGGAATAGAAGGGGTACCCCCCTCCTCCCCCTGTTCCTAGCTACAGGAGGCAGCTAGGGCATTCAGGCATGAGAACACCACCTACAAACTCTCGGGTAGAGCTGCTGTGTTAGTCTGTACGAAAATACAGGACAGGAGTAAGTCTAGCATGCCATTATTTCGATAGCCACGTGTAGGGGCCCTTGTGCCCAAACTCTAGCTTTTTAAATAACTGTTTCACAAGGTTATCAGCATGCTTTAGCTGGGACTTACTTAAAATAAGGAAATACGCACAGCATTCCCATAAAAGCAACAATGAACCTTTTCAAAGGTTCAAAGGAACAAACGTGAATGGTCTATGAATAAGAGTAAGTCTCCTTACTTTGACGGTGGCATCATTTGTACTTTGCTAGGACTGCACTGGAAAGTACCTTGACTAAACTCTTCACTCCAGAAATTTTATACTTCATATTGGCAATGAATTTAATAGCTCTATGCTAGACATCATATATAAAAATGAGCGAGAGGTTGAAGTTTCCCTATCAGATGATACTGTGTCAAATATTGTTAAAATAAGTGACAGAACTTTCTAAAGTTCAATAAAGTTTCCCTAATTTTGGAATGTAACTGGAAGTGTAGCAATGAAAAACAGTAATCTGTAGTTCACCAAATTTGTTCTGTTCAGCAGGCCCTTATATATAATGTAAAATATCACATTTTTTTCAACAGAAGATTAAAAATTAGGGATCTTCCTGTCAGGGTAGGTGAATGAAATAGGGTTTTCATTTGCAGAACTAGTTCAATCTTTACCTCTTGTCCCATGAACTGATGGAAAGCACCTGGCAGCTATAAACTCCAGCTGTTCACTTGAAGCCTTTCCTTACTGTTTGATACCTGGTTCTGCAGCCAGAACTGCATCTTCCTTATAAAAGCACTATGAAATGATGGACTGATTCACCACCTCGTACACAATGCTTTATTATCATCTTTAAATTAGCACAAGAAAATTCTAATCAAGTCACAAAGTGCAATTTTTTTTCTTAAAATACGTTTTTTTCCAAAGCAATTCCCAGTCCATCTAGCCTACAAATTACTATGTTATCACCCCTCCCCATTACCAGGTTCAATATTGAGTGATACACAATAAAGGGACTGAAGAGAGAGAGGAAAAAAAAAAAAACCAAACTAAAATCCCCTTCTCCCACTACTCAACACCAGAAGCATGTAATCAGGAAATAATTTCCTGTTTACAGTTCTCAATAACGTACTTCTGTACGTGCTCCCTTTTCTGAGAGAATGACCAAAATCCCCACACAGCGCTAGAAAAAAAATACATGGCCCTATAGTCTAGTAATTAGGTCATTCACCTCTGAAAGGTGAAACTTGGGTCTTTTATCCTCCTCCAGAAATTATTTAGCTTACAACAGACAGTCACTTTTAAATAACAAGTGCATAAACAGACGCATGGACAGACATTTCAGCTACATCCCTGATTTCTAACAGCTCATTTAAATAAAGCTACTTGAAATTTGCAAATTAACACACACTATTACTTGTACACACAGTTGGTTATATCTAACAGAGTAACCAAAGGTAAAGGAAACAGAAAAGGGAAAAAAAGAAAAAGAGCATTTGCTTTCAGAAAGCTTTGGTATCCTAGTAACTTGCCCCACATGTCTGAAAAGCAGTATGAGGATGTGAGTATCTAAAGAAGCATATGCACAAAAGAAAATCAGTCATAGCAGAGTTAGACCAGCAAAGGGGACATGAAAATGATAAAGGATTAGAGCATCTGTCATACAAGGAAGACACTGAGAGAACTGCCATTGTTTATCCTTGAGAAGGCTCAGAGGGAGCAAGGACGACCAAACCAAACACTTCTCATTGGTGCCCAGTGAAAGAACAGGAGGCAATGGGCACAAACCTAAATGTGGGGTGTTTTTTTTTGTTTTGGGGTTTTTTTGGTTATTTTTTTTAAATGCTGTGAGGCCAGTCAACCTGGATCAGACTTACTTGAAAGGGCGTGTCATCATCCTTGGAGATATCCTAAACTCAACTGGAAAAGGCCCTCAGGAGCCTGCACTAATTGACTCAACTTTGAGCTGGGTGATGGGACTAGAGCAGAGGTCCCTTATAATCTCAGTTCTGTTTCTATGTCCAATACATGACCACGTCTGTCATGAGAATGGAAGAAGTAATTTAACCACTATAACATTATATTGGATACTTATTTAATGATTTGAATCAATATTTCCTTGTCAATGTACAGTTAACTATCACTTTGTCAAGACAGGCCAATGTGCTTTCTAGCTTTGACCTATGAATCCATAAACGCTATCAAAGTATTTATGACAAGTGACTGGACACTATCAAAGTATCCTCATGTTAAAATATATAGCTTAGGTACACCAAGAGATCTAACCCGATCTAAACCAAAATTATTATTCCTTGGTTTTTTTCCTCGCTTTTGCATAACTTCCAGATTAGCAGCAGCTCGCTCTGCCAGAGTGGGGAAGGAGTAACAGGCTGTAATTACTGACCACAAGCACACACAGCTCTCCTGCCTAATGAATCTTGCCTGTCACGGATTGAAAACCCACTGTGTCAAAAATGTTAGGAGCCAGTCACTTTTTATACTTCTATAATACTCATAGGAGACATAATTTACAGTTTAAGATTTGATTATAGTTAGATTATAAACTACAGATAGAAAAGATTAGAAACCTTACTGGTTATGAACCCAAGCATGGCTCTGAATGTAGAATTGGCTCAGCTAGAAAGCCGTGGGGCCATGGGACAGAATGAAAAAAGTGCCAAACCCTGATTTCAAAGCAGCATAAGCAGTGTGCCATTATTAGTAAAAGAATTTGAGTACATTTTGTTTAAAAGTCATTAGTTAGAATCAATGCTTATTAGCAGCCGAGTAATTTTGATAGTTGTAGTTTCCTGTAACTGAAGATGTAAGGACATAAGAAAATGGTTTGCATCATGAACAATTTTCGTATGCATCCCCCATTTTTTTTTTTTTTTTAAATGGCTGTATTCATGTCTAACCCTTTAGAGTACAAAATTCACATGTAGTTTTACAACCACTACAGTAGGCGAGAGAATGGTATTTTCGGAATTCTTTAATTAATTTCTTCTTCCGCTTCAAAGGAATAGTGGGGTCACTGTCCATCTCTTGAGCCAATGTAAGAAGATACTGACTTGTTTGTTGTTTTTGATCTTCATAGTCTTTCATTGTCACACGCTGACAGAAGGTGAAGCCTTTGTAAGAAATCAGATATTCAGATTAAATTCAATGCATCATATAAGAGCCTGACTTAAAAATATGATCAGAGACATAAGTATATTGGTATTAGAGTTCAGATGTGATTACAATTCTCTACAAATAATCCGAGACATACAGCCTTCCACCGAGCATGGACAAAAAGCTAAACAGTAAGTTCAAAAAAAAATTTGAAAAGCAGTGTTACAATTGCAATATCACAGATGATTTCGTATTGCAAACAGGCCTGCAAGACAGAGAGCCAATACAGTTCTTGTAAACAGAAGCCATAATGAAGAATGCTTCATGACAAGAATGGCACCTTGCAGTTGGCACGATGCAGTGATTCCCTGTGAGTGAATCAAATCCACAATGAGGCCCAGTACATAATGCAAGTGAATAAATACTTCAGAGAAACAGTTGCTTCTGAACCACACCTCTGAATTCAATAATACAATTCAGGAACTTCTGGGTGGCTGGACAGCTCAGCATGGTTTGGGTTCCAGGAGCAGAGGTGATGGAACAGGCAGCAGTTCAGGGTGAGGGCAGAGCAAGGAACTGGAGCCCAAGGAATATGCAACTTAAGCACTACTTAGCTATAAAAGTGCTAAAGAACCTATGCAGTAGAGTACAGCCCTGCAAGGATTCAAGCCCCATCATTGGACAGGTGAGTTCTGGCCTGAGGAAAGACTGGCATTCAGCTACTCCACACCTTAGCGAGCAAGGCAGCTGAACAAACGTCAATTGCCTAAAGGGAAAACATTCTTACTGTTCCTTCTGTACTAACACCATCTTAAGGCTTCACATAGACAGGGGTAATAACCTGAGCTTCCAGAATTTTCACATGGACCCGCCCTTCCCTTCTTTTACAATGAGTCTGTCAACCAGCAAATATGAAATACTTTTTATGGTTTAGCAGAGTCAGAAAAAGAAAACAGATCTTTCAAAAGGGGAAGCTTGACAACTTCTGGCAAACAGATTAACTCTTAAAATTTCAGGGTGGATCCTTTAATCTAGTGGTTTCAAGTGCCTTACTAGATTAAAACCAACCCAAGTTGCCATAGTTTTTTTAGGAATGTTTATTTCCAGCAGACCTAATGATTACCTTCCTGCAAGAGATAACTCCTTTTCTTAACAGGGTCCCCCAGCCTTCCCTCCTACTCCCACCTGCACTTCAGAAATTCACCAGCTAACAATGTTCAGTAGCTCTCAGTAAAGATTTTCCTCCTGTCTCTTCCATGATAAAAGTGAAAATGACACCAGAATATGAAGCACACAGGAAAACAGGAATATGCCATGCTGGAGAGCTTACAATCAGATCAAGCTATTTTAACAAGTAGATGGAATCTATATGCATTTACAGATTGAAACTCCAAAACTTAGTAGGGAGAATACAATAAGGGGTTTTTATTCCAGTTGTCTGTTCAGTGTGCTGATGGAGATCATGCAGGCTCCAAGAATAATGCAGACAGGCAACTCCTTCCTCTGTTGCTCATCTCTGTATTCTTTGGCTACACAATATGCGATACTCAGAACAATGAACTGGAAGCAATTTGGACACATTCCAGAACACAACACAGATGGTAAATGATTCCGTACCAAAACTACTTCTCAGACAGCTCTCTATTAAATACAATATTAACACAGTAGCTTACAGTATTTTTCAGTTCCCTAATGATTTTCTCTTCAGTGTTTAAGCACATAATGCACTGGCAATACAGAAGTCAAAAGGAAGAAGCTAGCATCAGAGAGAAATTCAATTATTTAAGCCAACCCTTTTAATCACAGTGCTGAGATATATTTTTGGCAGCAAGGCCAGATGGAATGTTAGCTTGTAAAAGAAATGACCTGGAAAACACTCCATCCCACATACACATCTGGCGTGGTTTAACCCTAGTGAGCAGCTAAGCACGATGCAGTCACTCACTTGCTCCTCCCCACTCCCAGTGGGATGGAGAGGAGAAAAGGAAAAAAAGTAAAGCTTGTAGGTTAAGCACAGTTTAATAACAAAAATAAAATATAATAACAACAATAATAAAAAAATATAGTATGAATGAAAAGGAATAAGGAAAAGAAATAAAACTCAAGAAAACAGAAGTGATGAACAATGCAATTGCTCACCACCTGCTGACTGATGCCTGAGCAGCTATCTGCCCCTCCCAGCCAACTGCCCCCAGTTTATATACTGAGCATGACATCCTATGGTATGGATTATCCCTTTGGCTGGTTCGGGTCAGCTCTCCTGGCCAGGCTCCCTCCCAGCTTCTTGTGCACCTGCTTGCTGGCAGAACATGGGAAACTGAAAAATCCTTAACGTAAGTGCTACTTAGCAACAACTAAAACATCAGTGTGTTATCAACATTATTCTGGCACTAAACTCAAACCACAGCTCTGTGCCAGCTACTAGACAGAAAATTAACTCTATCCCAGCCAAAACCAAGCATCAAATGCCTTCCTTTTAGGCTACACTACTCTCCCACAAGTCTCAAGCTCTTAATAAACTTTTGCTTACCCAGAAAAGGAAGAGAGTTCTTCAAAACACTAAATAATCAAGGTCTGTGATCAAGACATCTATTAGAACCTCAAACTTCTGAGCTTTAAGAGAATATCTAGGTGTTTTATAGCAGAAACATAAGAATGCTGTTCCTAAATATAAAATCACATCAAATTCACAAACCAAATTATAAGCAAGTCACTTCAGGAAACACATTTTGCATTAATTTATCCAGAAATAATTATTTGGTAAAAAAATTTTGTAATGTGTTCAAACCAGATAATTAACAGAATTACTATTCTCTAATATTCAGAGGTCAGTGTTTTGCTTATAGCAGGTACTTTAATTATTTGGTGAATTAGCCACTAGTAACTTTAATGCTTTACTTCTAATAAAGGCAAAGAATGTAGTCTATACAAAATTATAGTCAACTGATGATAAATTGATTTTTATAGAAAGGTTTATATATAAAAATATGTATCACAACATCTACCTGAATCAATATCTGGATCTTGTCCTTCTAGCAAACTCTCAAGTCTCCTACTAGTTAGTTCCAGAAGAGTTAAAGGAGTCTGAAAATATAATCCGACAAAGTAAAAAGTTACAAAAACAGTATTTCTGTATTTTGAGAATCTAAAGCTTTCAGACAGTCAATTTAAAAATCACATAATTAACTGCAGAAGAATCTCTGCCTACAGTTATTTAGGTACACATTCAAAAATCTCTCAAAAAATTACACTAAAACATATACATGTTTATTCCTGATATTTCTGGCCAAAGAAACAGGAGGCAAGATGTCCTAGATGCTGTTTTCCACTGAATCACAGTAAAAACTGTAGTGTAGGCCTTGAACTCAATCCTGTTTATATAATACAAGAGGGTCTCAACTGCAGTTGTGAAAGAATCATCAAAAGGTTTGGGTTGGAAGGGACCTTAAAGATCACTTAGTTCCAAACCCCCTTCCATGGGCAGGGACACCTTCAACCCAGCCTGGCCTTAAACACTTCTAGGAGGGGCCATCCACAACTTCTCTGGGAAACCTGCTCCAGAGTCTCACCAACCTCACAGTGAAGAGCTTCTTCTTTCTATCTAATCTAAATCTACCCTCTTTCAATTTAATACCATTACGCCTTGGCCTATCTCTATACTCCCTGATAAGGAGTCCCTCCCCACCTTTCCTATAGGCCCCATTTAAGTATTGGAGGGCCTCTATAAGGTCTCCCCAGAACCTTCTCTTCTCCAGGCTGAACAACCCCAACTGTCTCAGCCTGTCCTCATGAGGGAGGTGCTCCAGACCCCTGATCATCTTTGTGGCCTCCTCTGGACCCACTCAAGCAGGTCCATGTCCTTCTTATGTTGGGGGCCCCAGAACTGAACGCAGCACTGCCAGGTGGGATCTCACAAGAGCAGAGTAGAGGGGCAGAATTACCTTCCTCGACCTGCTGGCCACACTGCTCTTGATGCAGCCCAGGGTACAGTTGGCTTCCTGGGTTCTGAGCACACATTGCTGGGTCATAGTCAGCTTTCCATCCACTAGTACCCCCAAGTCCTTCTCCACAGGGCTGCTCTCAACCCACTCATCGCCCAGCCTGTATCTGTGCTTGGGATTGCCCCGACCCATGTGCAGGCCCTTGCACTTGGCTTTGTTGAACTTCATGAGGTTTGCACGGACCCACCTCTCCAGCCTGCCAGGCTCCCTCTGAATGGCAAAAAGCGAGCCACCATCCACTCTGCTGTCACTGCTATGAAGCAGGGGGGACTTCATTTGTCCTGTCTGGCTCTGTCTCCAATCATGAATCAAAGACCTAACTCTCATGTCAAAACCCTTAATAACGACAGAAAAAATGTATTTGGTTTTGGCTGTATATTAACATGTACAACATGTTACCACTTGATACTTTCGAACTGGAGCTAATTAAAAAAAAAATATCCCATGTCTCTCTAGCTGAGGTCAGAAGTAGAAATTAATGTGTTATATAAGAACTACAAATAATATTTTACTGAAACCAAATCAATGTTTGTGAGGCTTATTTGTAACTGAGCTGTAAAATGCTCTAGACATTTATTGTCATCTTACAACAGCTAAGATAATTAGTTTATCTAATTTAGTGTTTTAATGAGGGATTTTATAGTTGAGGAAACCAGTAGTGAAGCATTATAACTTTAATGCACTGGCTGAATTAGAAAGTGAATATAGGGTCTGGGAAGGTTGTGTCTTTTCACACATGTGACAATATGATGGAATGTAGTAAAAGGAGACTATTAAATATATCTGTATATTTACATAACTGATCAAGGACATTTCATTTTGTGGTTCTATTTGTTTTCTTTATTTTAGAAGTTAATATTTCAAAATCCCAAAAGGAAATCTTAAGAGTTGTCAAAGGTGTACGTGTACGCTGGGGGCACAAAGCATGCCATCTTATGCCACTCAGTATGTCAGCTGACTTCTAAAGGAGAAACCCACTAAGGAGCCTAAAATTTTAGTAGACAGCCATCAGAAACAAGGTACCAAAAGGCCTCTATAATAATTTCTTAATATTTCAAATACTTTCTTAATACAAATGATGAACATAAAGGGAGAGTATGTTATATGTAAAGGATTGCAAAGCTCTCAAAAATCTATCCACAGTCTGAAATAGCTTCTTGCCCTACTTGACTGTACCATTAAACTGTAACAGATGGAATAATAAACTCTGCTCCTCAGGCCTCTCATCTTCAAAAAGGCACTTCATGGCATTTAACATTTAAAATGACAAAGATGGTGAAGTAAGGAAAATTCTACCTTGAAGAGCTCAGAGTGATTGTCCATCAGAAATTGAGTCAGCAGTTCTGCCTGGGGTTTTGACAATGTCTTATTCTGGAAGATGAATTTTGTGCAAGTCTTGATGACCACTGGTCTGTTATCAAACTAGAAAAAGAACCACCCAGATTTGGCATTAGATTTACTTGCAGTGTTTCAGCAAAGACTAAGTATAACAGGACGCTATCAGTGGGAAGAACATCTTGGTATTTAGTTTAAAACAAATCACATCAGAAGGCAGTAAGCAGAGTATTTCTAACTCCGGAAAAAAAGTTAGCTTTCCTATGGGAAAGTGCTATTTCCCACACATAACAGATACTTACTTGTTTTTGTAATTTGTAGCCCTCGGATTCAGATGCAATGGCTAGGAATGTCAGGAACCTATGTAGTTCTTCTTGAATATTTGGTGCTAACAATTTTAAATAAAGTTGTGATGCCTCCAGAGCTTGATCTGTTTTTCCTTTTTCTGCAATGGGAGTAAAACAGTGTATCCAGTGCAACTGTTCATTTTCAGAGTCAAAAAATACATATTTAAATTTCAATATCAATTCCACTTTTGGGGGTTTTTGCCCTCCAACAAAGCAGGTCATCCCAGCGACTTCTGAAACCTTTTGACAGGACTCAATATAGCATTTAAGCAATATAAGCTTAAAATCTTTGTCCCATGCCTAGTCAGGGAACAGGCATACTTGGACAACATATACAGGACATTATTATGTTTTGTGTACAGTGTACAAACACTGAAGAGATTTTTGCACATTTGTGTTTACACATCTTCGTATTATATTCCAGGATTCATCTCAAAGTCATTAATGAGCTGAAGAATTCTAGCTTTCTCATTGCTTTGAGGTTTTGTTTGTTTGGGGGTTTTGTTTTTCTTTTTTTGTTTGTTTTTTTTTGTTGTCGCTTGGCTGGTGTCCCACCCCTTCTCCCCTCTTTTTAAGACATTAGGTTATAACTTTCTCAAGGAAATGTGATAAGGTGGAAATACTGTGTAAAAACCCCTTTAGATGATAATTCTAGTTTTCTTGACTTTGCAAGTGAGAAACTATCAAAAAGCCAAGAGCAAGATGAGGGCAGATACAGGAACATAACCTACATATGATTTTCTGGACTCTGTCCTATTGCTGGGACAGAAGTTATATTCTACAAGAAATAATCCAGGACTTTCAGGGGTATACCACAAGCCATCTGAAACCACCTTTGTTTAAAAAGAACACCAAAAGAGCAAGTAAGTGACCCTTTTCCAAAAGAAGGGCAGACAAGAAAGCAGGAAAGAGAATTGCCAAAGGACATGATCAAGACAGGTAAAAGTGTAGATAGGAAGACAGGAATTTAAGTAATTTCTAGAGAAAAGTTTAAGAGTTTTTCTGATCTGTGATTAAAGCTTCACTGAGTTACTTTAAAGGACTGTAGGGGAAAAAAAGTTCCAATGTAAAAAGGTTCAGTAGACTACATGGAGCAGTTTGACCAACTGCTTTCATCTGCAACATAAGTAAAACATTCTAGATCTGTTTATTTTAAAGGTTACAAGCACAGAAACATTTGCCTTCACAACAGATCTGTATTATCAGTTGTCTTAAATCAAACTGTTCAACTGAGGAAAATACAGTTATAACCAGATACACATTGATAAAGTCCTACTTCAGATAACTGCAGCGCTTCTCAAATTAGTTTTGAAAGTGTTTTAAATCTGTAGATGTTCATAGCCAGTTTGATTGCCCTCTTGTACTAGAGTCAGAACAGCAGCACTTTATCAAAGTGAGCTTAACTGCACTTGATTATACTTTCAAGTTGTTATTAGAATACAAGTTGTTATGAGTTGATGGCCATAATCTATTCCATAGCACTGAGAAGGGAAAAATGCTCGTAAAATAATTAAGCACTATCTCCTAGCAGTGATCTAGTCTGAACTAGAATGCAGCTGAGGACCCAAGAACACAAACTAATCTATTCAAACAGAGAATAATTTCCTAATGATAAAATTATGGCTACCACTTCATCAGAAAAAAAAATAAAGCATTAGACACTGCTTGTGAGATAGTCTCACTCAAGTTGGAAATATGACAAAATTAAAGCAAGAACAAGATAGCAGAATAGCCCTGGACATTCATGGGTCATGTAGTTTAGATCAAGGAGACACTTGAAAAGAAAAAGACCTAAGGGCAACTAAAATGTTAGAGTAATTCAGCAACTACGACACTGTCTTTTCCCCTGCCTACAGATTTGGCTGTTTTGATTCTCTAATTTAATAATACTCTATAGTATTAGTTTATATCAGTGTTTGTATTTAAAGTGTGTATATAAACTATAACATCTTTAAGTGAACACTTCGAAGTTAACATTTTTATTTGTGGATGGGCTATGTAATTTTGCAATAGTTTCCCTTTCGTGACTTCTATGATAATTTGATTTTTTTTTCCCCTCCTTAGCAAAATACTACTCATAAAAATACTGCCTTTTGTGTTTTCATGAGGTTTTGGCTACAGGATCCACCACTCCGCTCTAATTTTTACACAGGCCAACTGTGCTCCTATGCCAGTAAGCTTGCAATAGTTCTCTGAAAACTGAAACTTTTGGTAACACTCCAACCCTACAGAAGCAAAGAAACAGGGGCGTATTTAGGATAGGATTAAACTTGTATTTAAATTAAACCCTTCTGTTTTACCTGTGAGCATAAGTATGGAGGGCTTTAGGGGAAGAATCACAATCTTAACAGCCCCTTTTATCACTTTAAATAACTTCCATTACTAAAAAAGCCTTAAGTCCAGAACTTACAAAACCTTCTTCTGGTTAACAAAAAAACTTTACCACAATGTTTTTACTTTTATGTTATTAATCACAAGTAACAATAGGGGAAATTCTGACTAGCAGTAAGAAATTTTCACCATGAGAGTAGTTATATATTGAAACAGGTCACCCACAGAGGTTGGTGAATATCTGTCCTTGGAGATTTTCAAAACTCAGCTGGACCAGGCCCTAAGGAACTTGATCTAACTTTGAAATTTGCCACTGCCTTGAGCAGAAGTTCTGATTAGCCACCTCGAGCATTCCTTTGCAACCTATAAATTAAAGTGCATCTGCAGTAGCATTGCAAATGGCATTACAATTCAGTCAATTAACACTTAGTAAGTTACATCCTTTATACAGCTTTCACTTTTATTTTTTGTTCCAGGTTACTCTTACCTATAAGGTCTATAATTCCTGAATGAATATCGAGATCCTGAGTGGCAAGAAGGGAGTCCTTCTTTTGACTATAATACTTTATTATAATGTCAAAAAGAATCTTCTTGTATGTATTCAGACTGCTGAGTTTGTTAGTGCTTTGATGTAACTGCTGACTAACCATCACTATGAATTGGTCTGGGAAATACTCCAAGCATTCAATTGCAGCATAGAGCCATTTGTCAAGCCTGTAGAAGGAAAATTTAGTTTTAGTGCTTACTTTAAAATGCTCCGCCTATTCTTATTTAATCCTTTAAAGAAAATCAGATAGAAATAACCATGCAGGTATAGTCACATTTCTGAACCACAGCATTAAACTCATTGCTTATTAAGCAGTTTATGTAACTTATTTCACTGTAGCAGTTCAAGAAACTGCTCAAAATAAGCAGCTTCCCTGGTTTTTGTATGCTACAGACAATATACCTGAGGTATGCCCTGATCAAAATAAAGCTACAGTCATGCCAGACAGTCACTGCCCCCAGGGCATTTGCCTGATTCAGCTAGTATTTAAAACCAAACACCACCCCACTATTACTCCAACACACTCAGAAAAACCCACCAGGGTTAACCAGGGTGAAAAAGCAAGGAACTGCATCTTTATAGAAGATAAACAAGACAATTAGTTTGAAAACAGAGAAAAATAAAAATAGTTTAAATTCCAGAAGAATGTGGAAGCAGTTTATTATATGACCTACTATAAAGGCAAGAGTTTTCTTAAGCATTTGTTGCCTGTATGACTTAACTAGGGAGAGAAGGTGTAAGGAGAACCTAAAATTCAGGCAGACAACTCATTGTTCAAAGAGGATGGAAGGTCAGAGGAAAGAGTCACTAACTCAACCATTTTGTACAGAAGAAATCTAAAGTTATAGAACTGTGGGAGGTCAGAGGGAGAATTACTTTTATCTGACTCTCTGGATATAAAACAATTTCAACTGAAACAATAACAACTGCATTTTCTCACAAGTTGAGACCTATTGAATCTTATTTTTATCATGGAGAGAAGAAACAAAGATTTTGAACTTGGTGCTGGACAGCTAATAAACATGAACTTCTGTTAGAACTGTTGAGACCAGCAAGGATTGTATAACTCCTGGATGCATAAACAGGGTAATACAGTAAAGTAGAAATAGGATTGTGATCTCTATTTATACTATGAGCAATGCAATCACTACAAGCAGGATTTGATTGCAGTTTTTAAGTACCTACATGGAGAGTAGGTATTTGATTATTTCAAGTATAACACGAAACTATTTGAAAACTGAAGACAGAAAATTTGAGATAGAAATTATCCTTACTCCCCAGACTTTATAGTGGGGTCAATTAATTCTATGACTACTTATGATACTGGTGGCTGTTCTTCAAAACTGGAATTTCTCATTTCTCAGGCATGGTTTAAGCCAGTCCTAAATAATATACTGTCTACAAAGATGCTACTCCAGCCCCCCACTTAAGTAATTGTAAATAAAGTAATGAAGCAAGCATTTAATTTTCTTAACACTCATCTGATATATTAGCAAAGACTCAAATGTTAGAGACACAACACAGAATAATATAGAGTAAGAACCACATACGAGATATTTTAAGAGACACAAATCCACAAACACCCAAGAATCAAGTACAACAGAAGTATAAAGCTGAAAAGAAACAGTCTTCATTAAGCCATTCTTTGAGGAAAAAGCCATGGAATTCAGATGCTATCCAGCTATAAACCTTGTTTGGAACCAGGAGTTTGATTAACTTATATAAAACTCTACACATTTGTAAAAATATTATTATATTCTCCCTAAATCAAGAATACCTAAAACTTGTAATAAAGAGTGTCCTTAGGAACACAGATGGACCTCAATCTCAAAGACATAGAAGTTGTATTGATTTGACAGAAATAAGCATTAATAAGACATACACACGAGGAGACGTGCCCTGCCATACTCAATAAAAGTACATACTAAGATAGAGACCAGCACATATGCAGTCAACAGAAACACTATAAAAATAAGAGAACATTTAAGGAAGAGAGCACCAATGACATGCAGCCACTTTCACTTTTATGGTCTTATGATATAAGCATTCTTCAGTACTACATCTTAGCTTCTCCTTTTCTGTTGCTAACAATAGATGCCTTATTGACTTTATATCTTCACAATACCACCACCAGAAACTGTGACAAACAAAAAAACCCATCAGAATAAATTTTTTCAAGTTCTAATATTCATTATAAAGATCTAAGAGTGAAGCGTCTGGTTTAGAAATTAGGAGTGTTTTCAACACTTGAGGTTAAAGTTTTAATGAATATTTAAAATCCTCAAGTGTCCAATCCTAAACACATACTTTTTGTGAATTCCCTTACCGCTTCTTTTCAGAGGTCAACTAAATACATTAATGCCACTAATGCCACCCCTGCCTACAAGTATAGAAGGGTAATGATATCTATATTATTCATTTAACACAAATCTTTGATCAAGAATAAAATAAACCATTTACTAAGAAATACATTTTATAGATGTGTAACTTACTCAGGCAAGTTTAAGCTACATACAATCTCTCTGTCCAGGAAAGTATTTGAGATAATTAGGTCTTCTTTGCCAAAACAATCCTGTTTTGTCTTCACTGAAGACACCAAGGTATCTTCTAGAAATGGAACATCGATTAACTGTAGCAGTCGTAGCAGAGTTTGCTGTTTCCAGACATCATCTATTACTGATACCATACACAAGGAAAAAAAATAAACACCTTCAGAAATAAGATCTTATGTAAAACGCTAACCTTTGTTTTACTCACTCAAGTACGTTTTAAGTGTTCAAAGAAAACGAGGAAACAGCATAGCACAAAGTTACCATGCTGGAAAAGGAGAGATCAAAACAGGAATGCTAAGAAGGCTGGAAAGAGAACATCTCCCTCCTCATCATATTAGAATTATTAATAACCTACCCTAACTACTAATATGTACAAGACAAGCGAATAGCAAAGGAACCATATAATACAGATGTTCTTAATCTTAAAACCTGTTTCCTCCTGAAGTGGTGTTTGCATAAATAGAATAGCACCATCAAGCAAAACCTTAATCCTGTTTGGTTTCCTTCAGCTTACTTACTACAAGCATTTACCCATTTATCACTCTTTTAGCTATTTTGTCACTAGCGACATGTTAAATTTAGGACTCTGAGGAGCAGTGCTTAACAGAAATGAAGTAGTCACTCCAAGTAGATACAGTGAAGAACAATCAAGTTTTAAAAAGAAAAATTCAATCCTCACTTCTTTTTGAAAGCAGATGAGTTGGTTCATTAACCATGATCTTTGGAGGTAAAGATCCATGAACATTTATTGATTGAAGAAGCTCCTCTACCCTCTTTTTATCGGCTGCTTCTAATGCTAAGGGGTTTGAAAGTGTTGTTTCACACTTTGTTCTGTTTAGAGGGAAAAAAAAAATTAGTGTATAACTAATACAATCAGGACACATTTCTCTTTCTGTCACTTCCTAAATTGCTGTTAAATCAGGACTCTAGGGCTTAATTGTATCTGGTTTTCTAGCAGCAGGATAGACCCCAATCATCTATATCTGCCTTGTGGAAAGGGCAAGGATATCAATTCTAAATACTGTTTATTAGTTCAATTTATTTTATCAGCTTCCAGCAGGTAGCTCATTCATGCCAATTCTCAGATTTCAGCACAACTGACTGCAAAACAAAATGATTCCTAGGCTTATGCTACTGTGCCATACTCTATTCTAAGTAACAAAGAGCAGATCAAAGCAGTTTAACATTACCAAGAAATATTAGGTTGCATCTACAATTCAGGCATGATATTTCTCACAACTGGCACATAGCTTTCAGAAGTCTCCAATACCAGAGTTAGACATAACTTCACCTACAGTTAACCCACCTTAACTTAAAAAAAAAAAAAATAATCAGAATAGTTCAGGGTAACTCACTTGGAACATCTTTTTGTCTTCTCTTTGCAGATTTCCTCAGGAGACAAGCTCTCATTGTTTTTATTATTTCTCGGAAGAAGAGGAGTAAGACTGCTATTTACAAATTTATAGAGACTAGTGTTTGTGTCTTCAAACTCTGTTTCTTTCTCATTCTTGAATAAGTAAAGTTTTGCTCCAACTGGCTCAAACACCTTGTGATCCATCAACGCCTGGCATACACGGACTCCCTTCAGCCGAGAAATATCATTGCAGCTTAGGTACATGCTTTGCATAAGATGGCTCAGTACCACATCAACAGCATTTGAGCCAGTGAAACAGTTTTTATAAGTTTTAAGATGTTGTCTGCGTCTTTTGATTTCCACATGACTGTGAAGAGCATGAATAATACTATTCCATAGCTGAGTTGCTTGAAAAGGACCATCACAATCTGAAAAATATTTATATGAAAGTTTCACAGATGTTTATAAAGCTTTACTTTAACATTTTAAAACCAATTTTTACTCTGTGAAATTAGTTATATATATTTTAGTTCTCCAGAAATTAGCTTAATTTTAAAAAGACAAAGATAATATTCATGAATCAGTCCTTCTTATAAGTTGACTCACACCCACTAGAGTAGAACCAACAGGAGAGAACAAAAAGCCACTGAAAACAGGCAATGAAGGTTTTTGTTATTACCACACATACTGTACGTATGTGCACATATACATTAATTCACTACAGAATCGTGGAATGGCTGAAGCTTGCAGGGACCTCTGGGGTCCATCTGGTCCAACCTCCCCTGCTCAAGTGGGGCCACCCAGGACCACGTCCAGGCAGCTTTTGAATATCTCCAAAGGCGGAGCGCCCACAACCTCTCTGAGCACCGCTGAGAAAGACAGGGCCAGGCTCTCTTTACACTCTCCCTCCAGGTACTTGCAGACATTGATGAGATCCCCCTGAGTCTTTTCTTCTCCAGGCTGGGCAGTCCCAGCTCTCTCAGCCTCACCTAGGGCAGCTGCTCCTCCAGCCCCCAGTTCTTCCTCCACCTATCACCCTCTGCTCAGCAGATGACAGACCAACCTTAGCAATGCATTAAACCTGCCTGTCCCTCAACCCTTCGCTCCCAACACTTGAGACACAACTCCACTCCCAGCCCTACCAGCGGCACCACCACCACCACCCTCATCACCCACCCCCCCCCCCGCCCTTAACCACGACTCTGGGGGTGCACAGCCGGAGGAAGCTCCTCTCTCCCCGCATAGCCGCTGAGCCCCGCACAAGCTCCGTCCCACCCGCAGGCCAGCGGCCCCGGCAGCCTGAGGCACCCCCCGCCCAACGGGCGGGCACGCGCCGGCCCCCTCAGAGCCCGCCCCGCTCCCCGGCGCGGGGCCGCCGCCAGCCCCCCACCGGCGCTGCGGGAGGGAAAACCGCGGCAGCGCCGAGGCGAGGGTGCCTCTCGCTGTCCCCCTACCTCGCCGCCACCGCCCGCTCCCCCGCCGCGGCTCTAACTCGCTCTGACTCCGGAGCCTCCTGAACCGCGGAGTCAAATAAACCGCCATGGCGGCGGGGCGGAAGTGGGGCGTGCATCACTTCCTGCCCTGCTCCGCCTTCCCCCCTCCACCCCCTCGGCCACCGCCCCAGCACCGCCCCCCCCGGGGCGGAAGTGAGCAGCGCTCCGGCCGCCCCCCTCCGCCGGCGCTGGGGCTGTCGCCGTCGCTATGGAGTAGCTGGAGCGGGACGGGGCCGAAGCGAGAGACGGAGCCGGCGTGACAGGCGGCCCGCCGGGGCGACAGGCAGCCGGGCGCTGCGCCGGCAGCTTCCTACGGGCTCAGGTAAGAGGCCTGTCCCCCGCGCCCCGGGGCAGGAGCGGCTGCCCGTGGCCTAGCGGCGCTGCGCGGGGTGAGCAGGGCCCGGTGGTTCCGCCGGGGCTGGGGCTGGAGGTCCCGCGCCCCGGGAACCCGGCGCTGAGGGGCGGAGGGGAAGGCGGCCGCCCCGGAGGCGCGATCGTTGCGCCACCAGGGCCTGGCGGGGACCGTTGAGCTGCCGGAGCCGGCGGGTCATCTGCCCCCCCAGACGCCGCTCGCCTCCCTGCCGGCTGCCCCGCCGAGCAGCCAACAGTCACCGGCCCTTCGGGCAGCGGGAAGGGGGATTCCCTCAGCGCCGCTGGCGGGGGCTCCTCGGCGGAACGGTGCGAGTCCCGGTCTCGCCGTAAGTAACAGTAAATACTTTGTCCGAGGGGACGAACCCTCCAGGGTTTGTGCGGCATAGAGGTTAGGTTTCGTCTGTCAGCAGGCGGCAAGCTGAATCTCGTGCACCGAATCGATCTCGTTCCGTGAGTTCTGGTAGGGTTTTAGCTGCAGCTCAGTACCGAAATGATGAATAAAAATCCTGAAGGTGGTAGTGAGGGCAGCTACGCCGTGCACTGTGCATCACTACATTTGATCCTCCTGTTATTTTTGTAGCAAATGCAAAAGGTTGTTTGTATCTGAAATTTTTTTTATTTTTTTTTTTTTTTTTTTTTTTTTTTTTTTTTTTTTTAATATGAGACTGGGTTGTTCCTAGCACCTGTTACTTCTGAGAATTCATCATTGTTTGGGTAAGAAGGATAGGATGGAAGTTTGGATTGGGTGGCGTGAAGTACCTGTCTGCTGCCTTCGTTCGTAGAGGGGAACCGCAGCTTGTTAGAGGTCAAAATACTGGCAGAGAGTATGATGTGCTGCTGTGCAGTGTGCACCCATAGCCATACATCAAATGAAGCTATGGGTTAGTTTATGGATAAATTAATAGTTTTAAATCATGCAGTCATTTTACAGGAGTGAGAATTATAGAATGGTGAGGGATCTTTGTTTTGGATTTACCTTTATTTCAATATTTTGAATGTTTTGCCTTATTTTTTATTTTTGTGTTGGCTGTTGCTTACTACCTTGCCAAGAGATTAGGTTGTCATCGTGCTGAGGTATTGTTGCTGGTGTACATCAGCATAAAGACCATTATTGGTTGTGAGGGGAATTCATAAAAACAGCACATTGATTGTCTGGATTTATTTTTAAGATTAATTCCAGGTTTCATGGACTTAGTGTGAGTAGCATTACTGTTACCCATGAAATTCAAACAGGAAGAAATCAAAGTTCTTACACATTTATTGCATGTCCTGTGTTGCTTGTCTGAACATTGTTACTCTTAAGATCTTGTACTTTTCTCATTTGTTACCTTTTAACTTGAAATGAAAGTTTCATTGTGGGTAACTGTATTGTCCTGTGGCTGTTAATTTTTCTATCTAGTCTTAAAAGAACTGAAAAAAAAAAAACTAGTTTACATACAGTTGGGAACTAAAGTTGCATGTTTCAGATATGGTTAAATCATCATGATTTGTGGTATCATAGATACTACCCAAAATCGTTATATTTTTTTTGGCCTGGATTTTCTAGGTACATTGTTCCTGTTGACATATATTGAGTGTATACTGAAGCTGATAATAATCACTTTTATAAAGCAAAATACAGTATTTGAGATTACAGTCCAAATGTTGACATGAGGATTTCTACAATTTAACAGTGTTAGAAGGATGTAAACTTAAACCCCAAGTTACTTATTGAGAAATAAGTTTCTCAGTACTCCTTATTCGGTAGCTAAATTAAACAGTAGTTTGCATACTGTCAAGCTGGAGAGGAACAGGTTGGACAGGGCCTACCAGGCTTGATTTTTAAATCCTAACCCTTCAGACACTGGAATGCTGTTAACATTCTCACCTAGTGGCTTTTCCAGTCTTCTCACTACAGTTAGTCTGTCACACACAGCAGAGGCCACTTCTGATTTAATCAATACTACACCATTTTTCCACCACTTACATAGAGAAGATCCCTTTTGTATTTATAAAAATGAATTTGAACATTCATGCACATACATTTTCTTCATGTCTCCGCAATTAATTTTGCAAAGCGTCTCTTTAGGTTTGAGAGTTCTAACACAAGGTTATGTTGCATTGATACTAGAGAAAGTTTGATGGCTGGGAGTAGATGAAACAATACAAAAAGCACCAGATTTATAAACAAATAAAATAGATTTGTGGTTATCTTAAACTTATTAGAATTGATTTTATAATCTTTTAACATGTAGAGTTTGCCCCATGGAATAGCTGCAGAATAAAATCTCTGAGAGCTGGAAACACCTGTAGCTCCTATTTAGAGTACTCCATGATCCTTGTTTCTACCTATTTATCAGGTTAATGAAAAGTTTCTTTACACAGGGATATTAGCCAGTGTCTCCTAGCTGTTTGGTCTTGAGCTGCAGAGTTAGGAATTGCATGCATTTTTCCATAGGACGGTTCATAAAATAAAATGAATATATTGTAATAAAATGTCACATGCTGTAATAAAATTACTTAGTAAAGGAATTCTGTGTTTCCATAAATTACTTCCAGCTATGTTCTTCAACAAAACAAGCAAATACATAATTATTCTTAAGATTATCTCATTGTATTCGGACTCAGCTTCTCATATCTAAAACTTATAGTCCCCATTAATTAAGACCAACTCTACCCTGAACATGCTAGCAGTCATACCTGGGTTTGTTCCTGAGTAGTCCTGTTGAAGCCATAACTACTTTAAAGTTGAGTTTTTGCAAGACTGAGATCCGTGCAGCTGAATAACTTGCTTTTTTAGAATATATTTTCTTAAAAGTCCTACTCTGGTTCTTCATTTAGTAGCACAAAGTTGTGTCACTCAACTGACATAGAAATTGGAGAAGTATCTGTGGAGCCACAGCATTAGTGCATTTCTGCATTTCACTGTGGAAGAATACTGAAGGTGGGATATAACCACAACAGTAGTCAAGATAGAGCAGCATAGTTGTGTTGCTTCCAGCACTGTGCTAGAGTTTGCTTAAGACCAGGCCAATACTGTTACACACATCTATGCTGTAATGAATTGTTCAGTAACTTGTGTAACTTTTTAAGGAGTTTTGTTTTGTATGTTCATTACCACTTTTAGAAAACAAGTCTATCTTTCTAATTTAATACTAATCAGATTATTTGTCCTGATTTCTAATGGAATCAGATCTATAGTACCAGGGGGAGAAAGGTGTGTGTGTCCAAATAACTTCAGTGTGGTTGATTTCAATCAAGTTTGAGGTATACGGGTGTCAAAAATAAGTTGCTACATATTTTGTGAGACTAAGGAGCTGTGAAGAGGAAACAAACTCCATCTGTCTCTTGAATGTGGAAAAAGCTGTGGCATAAATGTGTATATTAATAGACACCAGATAATCTATGTAGACCAGAACATTGCCTTATAAATGTATATAATACACTGGAAAGAGCTTCAAATCGTACAAGCAAGCACCTCACATCCAGTTAGGTCATTGGGGCTGATTACTCTCAGTACTCACTGGATTTTTTTGATAGTGCCTTTTGCTTCTTTTGTCCTTGTTACCATGACTTGGCAAACATCTTCTTTATCACAGAGAATCTTGTTTCTTCCATTTGAATAGGAGTGACATTCTCTACTTTTCAAAGAAGTAGTTTTACACAAATTATATGCCAATGAGTTGAATATTTGACAAATAAGACCATAATTGAAAATAGTATTTCTGCAGATTTCAGTACTTTTGCTGATGTGCTGTCTCAGTGTCGTGGTTTGACCTTAGGTTTATTTTACTATAGGTTGAGGAAATAATACTCTTCACACCTTATTTAAAAGAGAGAATGAAGAAATAGCCTTAAGTGTTGCTTTTGAATATACCACTTAATACTCATTTCAGGAAATAATTTCTGCTTGCAGTCTTTCTTCATCTTTGCTCACACTGATAAGGAAGATGAATGTCTGTCTCTTTTTTTTCACTGTTTGTTTCTTGTGTTCATTCTCTTTTGCTTATCCATTATCAGAGAGACAATTGTGTAAATGGGACATAGGCTTCAGAACTTCTATCTGGCAGAATAATCAAGTCAGATTTTTTTGAACTAATTATGACAACTTGGGAAACCGTGGAAGTACACAGTATGGAGGAAGATGACTTAAATTTTAAGCTGCCACAGTCTTTTAGCTCTTAAAATTGCAAAATGATGTAAAAAAATTCCTTGTAAAATTTTGTTAAAATAAAGCATAAAAAGATGGTTTCTTGTTTCATTCCCCCACAGCAATTGATTAATGCTTAAGCTCATTAATACTTAGGTCATACAAATAGTAGTTGGCAATCTGATGGGCAAAATACTGAATTTTGAGCTTGTATTTTGTCAAGCAGAGTGTAGGAATGAACACATTTTTTTACTTGTCTTCTGTATAATACACATCTGTTCTTTTGCTGGTCTTGAACCTTAAGCAATCCCTCCCTTCAGAAAATGTGTAGCTCCATGAGCACTGGAATTAAAGGAGCCTGGTTTCGTTCAGGTTTGGTGCTCTTTGTTGATTGATATTGATATACAAGGTGTGAACCTTTCCCTTCATGGGAGCAGTTTACAGATTCTCTGCTTTATTCAATTACCTGTTTTCAATAAAAGGTTGAATTTCTCAGTCCTTAATTGTTCAGTTAGGTCTAATGAAGAATGATCAAGAGATTCAGAAGTTTT